TATATATATATATATATATATATATATATATATATATATATATATATATATATATATACAAAAGTTGGTGTGTGTATGTATTTATGTTCCCTATAGACTCTGAAATTGCTGGACCGATTTTGATGAAAATTTAAGAAATTCCACAGATTGGCTTAGCGGCTGATCCTGTGAAATTTGGTAGCGATCAGATTAACAGAACTTTTTTTGCATCGATCACAGTTTCTGACCACGGAAGACAATTTACATCATTTTAAATTTAAGAATTCCTAAAACAGTCGGCAATCATACATCCAACTTCTGCTTCTTACCATCCTGCAACTAATGGACAGACTGTAAAAGTATGGAAATAAATTGGTGTAATATACATGAAAAACCACTTTTAATTAAAGCTCATTTAAGACGTATGGAAATAAGAATGAAACTTCACGCATTGTTTCAAAAGGTCCAAGCAGAAGAGTTGGATTTAGAATCGTTTGGCAGGAATTTGGGGGAGTAAGGTGTTTTATTTGGTACAAATACGCGTTTATTCGAATCCGAAAAAGAAATGGGACTTCGAAATAGTGACACGTAGACTAAAAATGGCCAGTAAGGCGGTAAAATTGTCAAGCAGTTCCAACCGTAATTTTCGCCATAGCAACCGCTGAGGTGTGAGACGGCGCGTTGTAATAGTGAAACAGGATTTTCTTTATCTGCAAATGTGGCCGTTTTTCCGCAATTTCTGCCTTCAAACTGTCAATTATGCGTAGTACAGTCATGTAATGGTTTTTCCTTTTTGAAGATAATCCATTAATATAAACCTATGCATATCCCAAAAAGAGTCGCCAGCACTTTTCCAACCGAAAAAACAGTTTTTGCTTTTTTGGAGTCGGTTTCTCCTGTTTTGACTATATTTTTGTTTCGGACGTACAATGAGAAATGGGACTTCGAAACAGAGACAGTAAACTCAAAAATACATTATGAAGTAATTATAGAGTAATCATATGATCAGTAATTTCTGTACAGATTTAAAAAAACCATACTCCTTCTCGTTACTTTAGTAACAGAATCAATAATTCTATGTCATCTTAATAAAAGAAGGTGTTTATTTATAGATCATTCTCGTTCAATCTCACGTTAAGGTTTGACAAATAATGTATTCCGTTTTGTCAGGTAAATACATCGCATTCCTGAAATGTTGATCCTACAGGACAGGTAACAAATAAGACCTCGTTACATTATTCGTGTCGTTTTACCCCTTTCTTATTTCATCCCGTAGGTGTAGTGAAAGGTCACTCAGGGCAATACCCAAAATATCAAGTCAATGTTTCTGACAGATGGCGGTTTAACCGATGATACGCCAACGCATCTGCCAAGCGCGACAATTAAAACAAATTTTGCCTACAGTAGAAAGGGCTTATATAAAACAGTAAAATCTTACTGCCTGATAAAGAAGAAAGAAAAAGAAAATGTTGCTCTGAGAATGTTGCATATAATTAATAGCACAGGCGTTATTTTGCGGAAATCCATTATACTAAAGATATTAAAAGTTACTTTGGAGCAATCCACTAAATAAATTATTGATTGCAAACGATGGTTGCAAAGTAACTTTTAATATATCTATAATGATGCATATAACTCTGTGCGTATTAACAATAAACATTTGAACAATAAATTAAATAGATAATAAAAAAAATGTCATAAACTCGACTGCAAAAAAGACCATTTAAAAGTAATGCACTAAAAGTACCGAAACAAGATTGAGAATAGAAAACAAAATTAAAATAAACTATAGACAAAGTAAACTCTACTTCTGTTTAACAGAATGTATTATGAGCTGAAAGTCTAAGTTAAATACCCGTTTTAAGTTTTGTAGCAAACGGAATCCATTAATTTTCTTTCGGTTTATAATTTGTAATTAGGTTCCGCCTGCTACTAAAAGGCTATATATTACACTCGGGTTTTTAAGACAAATGTAACTGTCGAAATCCATCCAGCCGTTTGAAAGATACGAGGTATTAAGAAAATTTACAAACAAATATACATATTTACAACGCGAAAAATATAACCCTTCCTTGGCAGTAGAGTCATGCTGCACTTATATTAATTGTATAGTTGTAGCACGAATGGGTCGGTACGCCGGGGAAGGACCACGCTCTCACAGAATACCAGCGTAAAATAGCAGCTTAATGCTGCTGTGCTACGTATTGTGAGTGTAGAGAACCGAAGACCATTTTTACTAGAAACGAGGCATTCCATGTTTGTCCTCACCGGTGGCAACGCATCTACATTTTGATTCGCAAACGAGGATAGATGTAGATGTCTATGGGCCACAGCATCCACTTACCATCAGGTGGTCTGTGTGCACGATTGTCACCCTTATCCTACAAAAAAGTAGAGTAAGGAAAAATTAATACTTTTCTATTATAATTATTATGTTATTTAATAGAGTAATCACATCTGATTGGGCTGGATAAATATATAAAGGGAAAATAAATATACTTAAATATATATTTAATATACTAACATAAATAAATAAATATTACATAAATAAATAAAAGCCCAACCAGATGGAAGCCCTCTGCAGGGGAGACCAAACAGCCGAGGGTTAGGGGGAAAGGGAAAGAAACCGGCGGACGATGGTATCGAGGAGCACCGCCTTCTGCATTTGAGCCCGGAGCGGTCCGTCCCGGAGTCCCAGTTGCCTCAGATGGCTCGAGAGGCTGGCTGGGATTAACCCGCTTGCAGACACGACTACAGGAATAATTTCGGTCGGCAGACCACCCCACATGTCGGTCACCTCGTGAGCCAGGTCCAGATATTTTGATTGCTTGTCTGTTTCGGCTTTCACGAGGTTCTCGTCATACGGAATGGTAATGTCGACCAAAAATATCCTTGACTGTGTCCGGTCCATCAGCACAATATCAGGCTTATTCGCAAGAATAGTTCTGTCTGTGATGATGGTCCGGTCTCAGTAGAGCCTGGCGCGGTCATTTTCGAGCACGGCTTCCGGCAGTTTTTTATAGAAGAAGGAAAGACGTCAGAACCATCAGAGGGATGTGTAAACTATTCCACAGAGAGGTTGTACGTGGAAGAACCCTTTGAAACTACAGTGTGACCGCCAGCATCCAGATTAGTAATTGTAATACGGCAATTTTTGGTCCACGAGATCGTATTTCAGAGCGAGCTCCTGGTGTAGAATTCTGGCTACTAGGTTGTGCCTGTGCAAGTACTCAGAGTTAGAAAGCGCCGAACAACCGGAGATGACATGCCTAAGTGACTCCCGGAGATGGCGACAAGCTCGACAGATGTCGACAGTGCCATCCTTTACGATGTATCTCCGATAGTTGTTGGTCTTAATAACCTGATCCTGTATTGCACAGACAAAACCCTCGGTTTCCCCGATGAGGTCACCGAAACGTAGCCAGTTGAGGGAAGCGACTGTATCTACGAAGGGCTCATGTAGAGCCCTGTAGTACCTCCCGTGGAGCTCCTTCTCCTTCCATACGGTCTCCCGGTTGGAAATGCTAAGCACTGCTGGGTCCTGCCATTGCTCGTTGGCTAAGGATAGAGGGGTAACTCCTTTATCACTAGAAATGACGTCATTATAAAATGGATAATCCGATCTCGCCAGGAAGTAATCACGGAGGCTGCACACTTCGCGATTATGCATAGTGAGCGCGCTCAGAAAACAACGCCCACCATGCTTTCGCGGCAAGTACAGCCTCATTACCGACGATCTCGGATGATGCATCCTATGGGACGTCATGGTAGTGCGGACTTTTCTATCCAGGGTGTTAAGTTCAGTCTGGGTCCACCTGAGTATGCTAAAGGTATACATGAGGACAGGCATGACCCAACCGTTATATGCGTGTGTCTTATTCACACCGGACAAAAGGCTGTTAAGCACTTTGGTCAAGCGTGCATAAAACACGTCGCAAACTGACTGTTTCATCCCAGTCTCATCGATACCGATGTTCTGTGATACACCCAGGTATCGGTATGTTTCAGCCTCGGAAAGGGTCCTTAACTTGACGGGCATAGATAAGTCTATGCCCTCAGAGTTAGCAACCCTTCCCCTTTCAACATGGAGGACCGCACACTTATCCGTTCCCAGCTCCATTCCAATAGAATTGCTAAATTCACAAGTGATGTTTAGGAATTCCATAAGATGGGAGCGACTGGAGGCGAATAACTTGAGGTCATCCATATAGAAAAGGTGGGTCACTTTTGTACCTCCTTTCCAAAGCTGAAATCCCCTCCCGGAGCCCTCTAGTAAAGTACTGAGAGGGTTCAGAGAGAGGCAAAACCAGATTGGACTCAGACAATCGCCCTGGAAGATACCCCCCTTATGTGGTCCTCCGCAGCCATCATCCGCTCGCCCAGATAGCAAAGGATCGTACTCCATTGCCCCATACACTGCTCGAGGAAGTCTCCAACTGTACAGTCAATTTTGTACAGCTGGAGGACTCTCTTTAGCCATGTATGGGGTCCACCGATTCGAATGCCTTTCTGTAGTCTATCCAGGCGGCGGAGAAATTCCGACGGTTGCGTTTCACCTTTTGCCAATGACCGCGTCAATGGGGAGTGGTGCCTTGGTTCCACGACCACCCCGACATCAATTTGGAGCGCGTGACGTCACCTGATTTAGCTCCAGGTGACGAGTGATTCTCGCACTCAAAATGGATGTCAGTGTCTTATATATGGTGGGTAGACACGCGATGAGGCGGTATTTGCTCTGGTCTGTGGTATCCTGATCTTTAGGAACCAAATGAGTGATCCCAGTAGTGAAGAGGCTCGGGAGCAAACTATCAGCTCTTGAAACTGTCGGGCGAGCACAGCGTGACACACTACGAACCCCTTTAGCCAGTAATGATGCAGCCCATCGAGCCCCGGACTTTTCCAGTTCGGGGCTCTACGGACCGCCTCAGCCACGTCTTCAGGCGTTATGGTGACGGGGTCCATAGGCGTAACACTTGCACTCTGGCTCGCCACAACTTCCATCCAAGGGCCCTCGCTGTGGTTTACGGGCTCTGACCACAGGCCACGCCAAAAAAAAAAAACCAGCAAAATGCGACAGTGTCAGCCTGATCCGGTCCTGGGCCCGCTCCACATACCTCTGGTCGCTCCAATGATTTATAGAGCCTCTTCTGATCACTCTGGAAGAGACGATTCTGATTGAACCGCCTTGACCTCTCGCTAAATCGTCGAATCCGCTTCCCCCAAGCAGCGATTTTTTGCTTCAGGTCATCTATGCGCTCCGTTAGTTTTTGCGTGATAATCGGCTGGGACAAACTAAAATTTGTCCCAGCAAACGCCATTCTAACGGTGCGCACAACTCTTGGTCTATTATTACCCGACCTGAAGCTTGTCAGTCTGCCGATAAGGGCCCTTGCCTTTGCGATACGGTCCTCAATGCTTTTTCTCCAGGCTGGCATGGCGCAAATTTTTTGAGTAGCACGTCCTGCCACGGGAAGTTTGGCGCCAATAATACGGCATACTGCCAGTGCGGCGCCAAAAAGAATTGAGTCCGTCTCGCAAAGGTCCCGGCTGGCTTCCAAATAGGTCACCAGCATTGGGTTAAGAGCCCGCACGACAGCCCGATTTCGCTTGCTAAGGGGTATGCGGGGGAAGTCGCAGTCGATTTTCGAGAGGCATGCTGCGCGTTTCCAGCATCGACTCTTCCAATATGCTCCTCATTTTCTCTAGTTCGTGGGAGACTATTCCATCATCGTCTGAATTAGCCACAAATGGAATGTTGACGGCAGCATCCCCATATGCAGTTTGTTGCGCATCTAGTGGCACCGCATTCCCAGCCGTAGCATTTCCATTCGATGAAGGAATAGCCTCACGTCGTAGTCGTTCGAGTTCGGCGTCACCAAATATGTTGGAGCGCAGGATGTACTGAACTCGGTCTGCCAGGTTTTGCTCAGTGACGGATAGAGATGGCTCCAGCTCTGCAAAAAAGCGATGCATCCGAGTCCGATACGCCAAACATCCAGTTTCTTCCCCTTTTGCCCTAAAATACGCCCGCAGTGCGTTTGCATTCATTAATTTTTTTCTATAATTATTATTTTAAGCGCGTAGAAGTGGCGTAAGAGAATCCACTTCATTGTCATTCTGTGTGTATCTTAAAAGGCGACAGAGGGAAACTAAAAGTGAAGATGGACAACTAGCATATTCCTAATGACAAACTCAAAATAACAAAAGAAGCAGCGGTTGCTGCCTGCCAACATGACAATTATGGCAAATATCTACTACAGAGTGCTTTCTATATACCTGAATATATACTCCTTGTGAGGCAATCTATTGGGGAGCCCTCATAGATTTCCAATCCTAGAGAAGGCATCTATGGTGTAACCCCCAGATTTATTAGATAACCGTGATGGTGGTGATGGTGATCATTAATGCCCATTTACTTACTGTATTTTCAATGCAAAAATTATGTATCTAATTATATTAATTAGTTTTCCACTTAAAATTTAGTTTGCAAAGTATATTATTTTTATAATATGAAGGATATATTACCAATATTACTATCCGCTCCATAGTGTAAATCAAAATGGCTGATCGTAAAGTATCTACTTATGAGTAATATCGTCATGCGGTTGATATGGTCACTTTCTTATAACTCAACAACTACAGCCTTTTTGGATATATGACTCTGCGATACAATAGCTCTTTATCAGTCAATCAAATAATAAAGGGTTAATAGGGCGCTGCGCTATCGACACCATTTTGATAGTTTACATTGTAGGTAATATTATAGTTGATTTTAGTACTGTGTAGTATTTTTTAAGTAGATTTTTCGATATAAAAAGTAAAGTTACAGCGTATATACGTCCCGCTGCTGGGCATTGGCCTCCGCTTATTTCTGAGAGGGTTTTAGGGCAAGGAATTGTCCGCCGCGCTGCTCCAATGCGTGTTGGCGAACTTCACATGTCTTCGAAATATTTTTTTCTTTTTTCTCTGACATGCGGGTTTCCTCTTTTCAATATGTTCCAAATTATTTCCAAAACTTGTTTGCAATTTTTACAGTATATCCTACTATTTATAGTATACGACTTCGTGTTTTTGCCTCTGTCCTCCTCCTAGCTTTGGTTTTACAGGGCAGCAAAGCTTAAGGTGACCTTATTCTGTTATCTGTTTCCACGATTGCGGCTGTATTTTACTGCCCAGGTGCAATCATTTAGTTAATTCATGTTTTATTTAATTATATGTGTATAATAGTATGGTTTATAAAATAAAATATAATAAAAATAATTTTCTCATTTACATTTTTATATTATTATAACATTAGAAGCGAAGTATAATAGTAACTGTAATTTTTAGAACAATATTGACGCAAAATTGAATCGCCGCATTGGATGACCGTTGCTGACGATAGATATTTAGAATAGAATTATTTTTATTCAATAAAGATTATATATATGTAACACTTATTAAAAGTCGTTTTTTACTTTTAACACTTGTTGAAAAAAATCCTCAATCTTGGGAAGAACCAGCTAGAAAACATTTAGAAACAGCATGGTAGGGTCATTCATTATCAATCATGTACGCTTTCGCTGTATAACTCGCTGTATGTTGTTTTTAGTATTGTTTCCAGTATTTAATAGGTATTTAATTTAGTACAGAAGGTTCATCCCCATTTTTAATAAAACTATTTTTCTTTGTACATACATTATATTTTCGCTCATATATTGGGAAGGCGATGTTAATATATTTATTTCTTTAAATTTTTCTCTCAGTTTTTTTGGACCAAGTTGTAAATTGCTCTTATGACTCTTTTCTGCAAAACAGTTTTAATGTTAGTCGCATTACCCTATAGAAAGATTCCCAAAAACATATTGCTATGGAAATAACTGAAATAAAGTAATCTAGCTGTTTCAACTCATGTAATCTACTCTCTAATCATTTTTACAGTATATGCTGCAGAACTAAGTTTGCTAGTTATTTTATATATATGAGGGCCCCACTGAAGCTTCGCGTCGTGCGTCAAAAACAGTGGATCAAACAAAGCCCAGCTCCTCCCCATTTAAAAGCACTCTGGTTTTTGTCTGTTTAACAATATGTGTGGTGAATTTAATACATTTCATTTTATTACCGTTCAAAAGCAAATTATTGACGTTAAACCAGTGTACTACTTTTAATGTAACATTATTCACTTCGTCATTTTTTAATAATTCCCTTTTAAGTCAGAAAATCAACGAAGTATCATCAACCAATAAAACAATATCTTGCTTATTCCCTACCAATTAAAGTAAATCATTAATATAAACTAAGAATAGAAAGTAGCCAAGAATTGAGCCCTGAGGAACACCCATAGATACTACCGATCCGGAAGAACTGATCCCATTAATAATAACGGTTTGTGTTTTATTACTTAGTTATGACGTTGTATGTTTAAGCGATAGGTTATTTACACCATAATGATATAACTTCCTGATTAATATGGTGAACAAAGTCAAAAGCTTTGGAAATATCACAAAATACAATACCCAAAACATCTCCTGAATTCTCCCAAGCACATAAAATATGTTTGATTAGCTCAACACCAGCATCAGGTGTCGAGCAAACCCTGGTAAACAGATCTCTCCACAAAGATTTTTATGGAGAAATTTATTTACACTAGAATAATTTTTTCAAAAATTTTATTGAGCGTTGGCAGTACAGATATATACGAGTAGGTGTAAATTTAGCGGGGTCCAATGTACCGCCAGATTTAAATAAAGGTATAACTTTACTATGTTTCATTATTATATTTGAAATGTAGACATAACCCATAGTCGGAATGGATCAATCAACTGTTCAGAGTCAACTGTAAAATTTTGTGAAATTGAACAGTAAACATGGTCTTCACTCGACGGTCGAGAGAACGCACTGGTTTTAATATATTTGCTCTATGAAAGCAGTCTCCGAGGTTGTCGGAAGTTTCGGTATAGGAAATATCCTATATATAAACGTATTTAACAATCGATTCTAAAACATACTTAGAGGACACTTGTACGTCATAGACTGTTGTATAGTACGAGAGTTTAAAAACAATATAATGTATACTTCTACGTATGTGTAATAACCTTCAATACATTTTACACCGCGTATAGTAAGACTATATGATAATTAAAAACATTTAATTTTCAGATTATTTTATTATGATAATAAATAGTGTCTAAATAGTAAACGAATAAATCTAGATATTGATAATCTTTATATATTGTATTAGGAGTGTAGGTGCGTTTGTAAGTGATCTTGATCGATCAAATAATTAACAAAATCGGCCTAAATCAAAAGAATATCAGAAAATTCGGACCCGATGGGTAGCACAGATGGACGAGTTTGATAATATAAATTAATTAATTTTATATTCACATTGTAATCAGTCTGGAATGAATTCGGGGTGGACACATCGCGTCACCTGCCGGAAAAACGTCCACCGATCCACCCAGTAATAAAATATTGAAATAATACTAGTTTTTACGGAATTTATCGCGTATTTTTAACTTTTAATACCCGACGTTTCCAGAGCTTTACAACACCCATGGTCACGGGAAGGACTGAGATGTTCAACGTCCAGATGTCATAGTTAACCGCGGTTACCATAGATTAAAATTTAACTTTTGTTTCGATCTATACAGTATGAACTTATGGTATCATGAAGTCTTGCAGTTGTATGCTTGGGTTGGGTTTTAATTTTATTTATTATAGGATCCCAAGCAGATGGTAGCATCCAGCCATCTTCCCTATTGGAATTAGGATGTTTTTTGATTTCAATAGCCTCGCGAATCATCCTTGGAAGGAATCGGTGTTCTTTAGCGAGAATTTGTGGTCTATCAAATCTGATGTAGTGACGGGGGCGATCCTGTACATGTTCACAGACTGCAGACTTCCCGGAGCGTCGATTCTTCACATCAGCTAAATGTTCTTTAACGCGGGTTTTAATTGGTCTTTTAGTTTGTCCTATGTAGGAGAGACCACATTCACAATCAAGCTTGTACACTCCTGCATCTTGCAGAGGGACGTTACACTTGACTGATGGTAAAAACTGACCAATCTTCTTCGGCGGCTTGAAGTATGTTTTGATGGAAGCGCGCTTCAAGATGTAGCCAATCTTGTCAGTGACTCCTCTAACATATGGCAGTACAGCAGGTACACGCTCGACTGTGGCCAGCTTCACTCGTTCTCTGTGACGTAGGCGCGGGACCCGAAGCTTGTTGTCATGCAAAACTTGCTTGACGTGTTGGAGCTCGGCAGCCAGGTGTTTACTGTCACAGATCCCTCGTGCTCACTGAAACAAAGATTTACCCACGGTAGCTAACTGTGAAGGATGGTGGTGAGAATCACCGTTTAAATATCTATCTGTATGGGTCTTTTTTCTATACACAGTATGGCTCAAGGTGTTATCAGGATTCCGAATTACTAACACATCTAGAAAAACTAAGGAATTGTTTGCCTCTAACTCCATTGTGAACTGAATTTTAGAATTCATATCGTTAAGATGGTCTAAAAATGCAGTTACTTTATCTAAAGGTAGAATTGTGAAAGTGTCGTCTACGTACCGCTTGTAGAATCTTGGATT